GCAGGCTGGCCTCCTGGTCCATGGAGGAAGAGGCCAAGCGGCCTTGTGGCTGAGAGATTGAGGATGGGAAGAGGTTTGGCTGCTGGCTGGGAGAGGTGTTGCTGTGGACAGACCAATGGCTGTGTCCTTACTTTTTCCCTGGCTTGTAGGAACCTGTAACTTCCCTTTAAAACAAAAACAAAAACAAGAAAAAAAAAACTTAATGGTGAATATTACCTCAGTTCTGTATGGTTATGCAATGAATTATTGAACCCAGCACAGAAGGACAGTACTGTGGGTAGACTAGTTGCCAATAGGGAAGCCAGAGGAGGTCAGCTATGCGTGCCTGCCCCACCCCACCTCCCAACCCCCGGTGCAGGTGCAGTTTGCTCTCAGAGGAAGCAAGAACCATCTTCATCTTCTCCCTAGGCATCCCAGGACCGGTCAGATTAAGAGCGGGGCTGGGGTCCTTTTCCAGGCCAGTTAGGTTTGTATGTGGACAGACAGGCTTTTTTTTTTCTGCAATTGATTTGGACAGTAACTTCTTAGCATCCGTCCCCATGCACACTTGACCCAAGAGAAGATTATTAAAACAGCACAATTTCAGCCCAGCTCATTGCTATTTGCCAGTGACTGCGAGAGGGGCTCATGTCTTGTGCCTGCCTGTTCCCCATCTGCCGAGGGTCCAACCAAATCAGCTCACCGTGATGAAAAGAGAGAGAAGCCTCGTGATCGATAAATTGTGTTCCCACTAATGAACCTTCACGATGTCCTTAATAACAGCGATGGCCATTGAAATGTGGGCACTGGTATAAAAACTCCCTGTAGAGTATATTGATTTTTCTTCCCATTTCTTTTTGTTTCATTTTAACCCATTTGAAGAACTCTTTCCAGTTATTCTCTGTTCTGCTGCTAAAATTGGTCGCTGTCTGGCTTATAGGGCCTTCTGTTCCCTGGAAAAAAACACCCTTGTGTGTTTCTATTGCCACAACAAAAATGCAAATAGTCATGATTCTCTTGCTCCTACCCAACAGATGCTATTAATATTTATTTACCAAGCAGTCTAGTTTTGTTAATTACTTAATCAGCAGTCATGCAAACAATTAGTTTCTGGGAGTAGGGAGTGTTAAATACATGCAAAGAACAAAAAAGTAGCATAAGTGAGGCACAGACCTGGGTTGAATTCTAAATAGAGGAAGCCAGAGTCATCTATTAATGTGAGTAGTGGCTGGGGCCCCCAGGGTGATGACTGCCAATGTATGTGTGCTCTTGTGCATGACAAACTCATACCCCAGCCTTGAACGCCTCCTGCCTCCTTTATCTTCTGCCTCGATACCTGACATTGAACCTCAAATGAACCTGCTATTTCTGGTTTGGGGAACTAAGCCCATCAGTTGAAGCTGGCCTTGATATATGTTTCATCCATTGAACTCTAAGAGGGGGATGAGCTACATTATTATACTGGTCTCTGTGATAGCATGGGTGCTCCACTGAAACCTGTCCACTATGGGTGGTTCTTTGGACCTTTGAAAACCCAGTAGCATAGCTTCTAGTCTCATAATCATACTCAGGCCACCACAGTGCCACAAACTGACAGAGAGCTCAAACTCAACCACTCACCTCACTGCCAATGAGTTGATGCCAACTCATAGATGGTAGAAATGAAGAAGAATTGGTAGTCGGAAAATATAGCCCGAGTTACAGAAATGATTCTGGAATTTTGTAAGACCAATGATGTATTCATTCCAAATACTTTTCCCAACAACACAAATGACAATTAAACACATGGACCCCAGCAGGTGGAATGCACAGGAATCCATTAGACTACGCATGTGAAAAAAGATGATGGGGAAATTCAGTATCGTCAGTCAGAACAAACGAGAGGCTGGCTACAAAACAGGCCATCAACTGCACACAGGCAATAAGTTTAAGTTGAAGAAAATTCAAACAAGTCCTCGAGCTGCAATATGATCATCAGTATATTCTGCCTGAATTTAGAGAGTAGATAAAGAAAATATGTATACATTGAACACAGATAATCAAAGATCAGATGGGTTGTAGGATGACATCAAGTACATCGTACATGAGGAAAGAAAAAAGACATGAAAAAGACATGAAACACAAAGACAAACATGAGCATCAGAAGAAACTCTGCAACGTTCTCTTGAACCTGACTAAAGCGAATGGAAGAAATGCAGTCCAGCGCTGAACACTCTATTTAAAAGGGATTCAAGAGAAGACCAAAAAAGTACAAAGACCTGGAGGCAGACAACCAAAAGGAGGAACACACTCAGCAGTTCTCACACTGAAAGAACTGCAGGAAAAAATCAAGCCTAAAACCAGGCTGGGGGCAGGGGGGAATCTATTGCACTATGGAAGGATTCTACAAGCAAAATATTGAAAAATTCTGAAAACACCAAAAGAACATAGAAGGAATACACAAAGCCACTGTGCCCAAAAAAAGAGCTCATTGACATTCAACTATTGTATTATAGGAGGATTTTGTTGCACTTGGATCCAAGATCAGTTGCAAATCTGTGAAAAGACAATTTCAAAGAATTTTGTATATGCCATGGACTCCCAGAAGAAATGTGTTTTGTAAGAAATGCATTCAGAATGTCCTTTAGAAATGAGGATGCCAAGACTGTGCCTCATTTTATCAGACAGGATTGGGCCCTGTAGAAGGACGCTGTCCCAGGTCAAGTCAAGGGTCAGTATCAAAAAGAAAGCCTCTGAATGAGATGTGTTGGCATAGTGACTGGCTCTGTGAGCACGACACAGAGCCAGTCAGTATTTCGTTCCAATGTACGTTGGGTTGCTATGAGTCGGGACCAATTCAAAGGCCCCTGCCTACAACAATAAGAGTGGCTGTGATACGAAGGTTCGTGTAAAGTCCCTGGAGCTAGATCTCGCTGGACGCCCAATTAGGTTGTTATAAGAATATGGGAAAAGTCCACCTTCCTCCCTGACCATTATTCAGGACCTGGGGTCAAACTCATGCTGTCCTTTCTTGTGCTTGTAAAACATGCAGCGGGGCGTATAGCTGCCCTGTGCCATGAATAACAGATCTACTAACTAAGAGTGTGTTGAGAAACTTAGACTCCCTTAGCAATCACTAGAGAATAGAATTCATCACCATAACACTCTTTAACCAAATACCGTAAATACTTGAGTGTAAGCCGACCCGAATATCAGCCGAGGCACCTAATTTTACCACAAAAACTGCATTAAAAATGTGCTGAAGAACTCAGGTTATGCATGGCTATATACGGTAATTGCAAGTATTTATCTGCTCCTACTCTGTCTAGTGCTATGCTAGATGAAGGAGTGACGAGAGGATAAGAGCAATTTTCCTGTATGTTGTTTATTTCGCTATCTTCTTGGGCTTGCCTTATGAGGACCTTGGCATCTGAATAGTAAGGTACTTGTGAAAGAGAAAAGATAAAGAGGTATCTGTGAAAAACCATATAAGAGACCTTGAGGACAACAAATGTGCAAATGTGCTTGACACAGTGGATGGATGGATGGAGCGTGATAAGACTTGTACGAGCTCCCAATAAAATGATTAAAAAGAGAGAGAGAGAGACATTGAGGGCTCACTGGAGTCCTGAGTCCTTGAAAGATGTTAGATAAAAGAGAGGAGTCTGGATTTGGATAATCAAAAGAATTGGACGTGGGAAGTGGTTAAGACAGGAGAGGCAGGCCTGAGGAAGGTGGGTGGCAGCGCTGTACAGGGCTTTCAGAGAGCAATGACTGGCACCTTGTCCTCTGTGTAAGGCGCTGGGGTGACACAGGGGATTACAGGGCGGGCTGGTAGTCGGAGCTCTGCCGTTTGAACTCACCAGCTACTCCACAAGCCAAAGATGCATGCGGCTGTCTGCTCCCACTAAGCTTGGCAGCCTCTGAAACCTTACAGCGCAGTTCTGCTCCATCCTACAGGGTCTCCCCGGTTGCAATAGGAGAACAAATGACAAACAGAACAGTCCTCTATCACAGCAGTGGATAAAAGCAGAAAGGAGAGAGAGAGAGAAAGAGAGAGAAGCTACAGTAGAGGACTTTAGTTTTGGTTTTTGTTTTGTCAGGAAATAATGAAGCTAAAATGTGGAAAGTGGAATTTGAAGAACCTAGAATTGGAGATATATTCTGCCCTTCTGGCTTGAATCCCACCAAGAGATGTAGATATTTAAGCAGCACAAATTCCTTTCGTCATAAGTCAGGGAGGACACCGGTTCCTTGGCGGGATTCTGGTGAATCTTAGTCCTTACGTGCCAGCTGTCTTTACAGGAAAGCGGGGGAAGGTATCCAGGGTGCCTGAACTATTATTCAAAAGACCCATTCTAAAAGGATGCCAATGTGGGGTTATTGTATTTCTTACTGAGCCCTGAGACCGAAACCCACCTAAAGCGAAGGAAATAGACACATTTGGCGTTTGGACAAGGGACCAGTGGCCTTTCAAAAGCTAGCACTTCTGAGTGGCTCGCTCGCTCCCACTCAATGCATCACCGACTCTATTAGGCGCAGCACCGGCAGTTTTCCACCCATTTCCACAAATGACATTGCAAGGCTCCAACAAAAGCAATCATTTCTTTAGTTCATCAAACCTCGATTCAGTGCAAAAACATGATTGTCCTTGTGGTTTGTGCTTTATGATTGGTTTTATGAAGACAGCAAAGAGGCAAAACATATAGATGGAAAGTTAAATCGACTTTATATCGCGAAGATTCTCCGTCTTTAAAAATAGCACGCTGGATGAATGCATTTCTGGTTTCAAGGAGGTTGGGGCTTTTTAATTGTATTCGGTTTGTTTGTTGTGTCTTGTTTTGAAGTTGCTTTTCCCTGCACCTCATTCTCTCCGACAGTAGGCTGTGAAAGAAAGCATTCTGTGGGGTTTCTTTCTGGGGGTTTTGAGGAATACAGAGAGCATTTTTAGCTAATGTGTCTGAAACCGCGTATACAATATGGTTCTGATATTCAAAGGTGTCTTCGGCTATTGACCTTTTGCTGTAATGTGTTTGTCGTAGGATCTGAGAGAGGAATGTGTAAAGTTGAAAACCAGAGTGTTTGATTTAGAAGAGCAGAATCGAACATTAAGCAGCTTGTTCCAGCAGCAAGTCAACCCAGCATCTGATGTCCTCCTCCAGGTACGTGTCCGTACAAGACAATCTTTGCTACGGAAATGCTATTGACAGTAAGGTTCTCAAGTTCAAAGTTATCAAGACCTCCCTGGGTGAGGCCTATTGCTTCTGCACCCACATTGCCTCCTCCACGGGTGCCATTAGAATTGAATGCCTCTTAAAAGTCTGACTATTTTGAAGCTACGCACAGGTAAGACTCACATGAACAAAGACCAAACTACAAAAAGTAACAAAGAAGGAGTCCTATAGTACACAGAAGGGGAAACCACGGAATGAAGTTGGGAAAGAGTTGACTGAAACATTATTATTAGTGGGAATGTTGCTTGCTGTGATAAGGAAGGAAGAGGTAGGGGTATGTAATGCCAAAATGCATGTCTTCATGTCACACTCTCAGTAGTCAAGACACAGCGCGATTTGTTTTCCTCCGGGATCTCTCTCCTCGCAGGTGTTTCCCTCCGAACACCCCACTTTGTACATCCCACTGTGGTTTGTTGTTGGGAGGCGCTGGGTGGGCTCCGACCCATAGCGCCCCTGTGCCCAACAGAAGGAAACCCTGCAAGGTCCTGGCCATCCTCACAACTGTCCCTGTGCCCGAGCCCATGGATGCAGCCGCAGTGTCCTCCGTCTCTTCAAGTGTCTTCCTCTGTTTTGCCGGCCCTCCACTTTACCAAACTTGATGTCCTTCTCCGGAGACTGGTCTCTCCTGACGCTGTGTCCAAAGTATGTAAGATGAGGTCTTGCCGTCCTTGCCTCGCGTAAGGTGACCAGATTTTAACATTGGTGAAGCGGGACACCATTGATAAAACTCATATCCTGGTGAAATAGCCACATGGTGGCCGAAAACCGTATACAGTGAACCCTCATTTATCACGGTTCATCGGTTCTAGACCCTACCGTGATAAATGAAATTCCGCAAAGTAGGATTCCTTATTTGTAAATCAAATATTTTCGTAGTTAGAGCATAGAGGACATGAAAAAACACCCTTTAGTCACCATTACACTCGTATTACCCAATTTATTAAACGAAAAAGGGAAAATACAGTAAAACATTTTGGACGTTACAATTATCATTTATTATGTATTATATTATTTATGGCATCTAGTTTACAGTATTACATATTTCACATACAGTATTATTATACATATATCTTACAAATACTGTAATCAATAGCCTATGAAATGACTTAAGGGATGTACTCTACAGGTGGGTCGCCCTCTTTTTCCTCTGAAGGAGCAGGTGTAGGCAGTGGGTGCTGTTACGCAAAAACTGCGATAAAGTGAAGCTGCGGAAGTCGAAGGGCGAAGTGGCAAGGGTTCACTGTACCCTAACTTGTCGTGCATTCTTTCCAAAATTCGGGACTTTTTGGAAACCCGTGGGATGCAGGAAAAATTGTTAAAAATCAGGACTGTCCCGCCAAAAGCGGGACGTCTGGTCACCTTAGACTCTAAGGAGCACCCTGGCCTTACTTCTTCCAATACAGATCGGTTTGTGCTTTTAGCAGTCCATGGTACTTTCAGTATTCTTCTCCAGCACCACAATTTAACTGCATTGATTCTTCTACAGGGTCTAACTTTCACAAGCACTTGAAGCAATGGAGGATACCATAACGTGGGGCAGGCGCGTCTGCATCCTCAACGTAACATCCTTGTTCTTTGGTGCTCTGAAGAGGTCTTAGGTAGCAGATTTACTTAATGCAATGTCTTCTGAGCTCTGGACTGCTGCTTCCATGAGCATTGATTGTGGATCCAAGTAAGGCAAAGTCTCTGACAAATTCAGCCTTTTCTCCATTGACCTATTGGTCCAGTTTTGAGGATTTTGGTCTTCTCATACATTGAGTTGTAATCCACAATGAAGGCTGAAATCCTTGATCTTGATCAACAAGTGCTTCAATTCCTCCTCGCTTTCACAAACCAAGGTTGTGCGATCTGCATATCTCAGGTTAATATGCCTTCCTCCAATCCTGATGCCAGGTTCTTCTTCATATAAACCTGTTTCTCTGATTATTTGCTTAACATACAGATTGAGCAAATATGGCGAGAAGATATAATCCTGACACACACCTTTTATGATTTTGAACATACCATATTCCTTTGTTCTCTTTGTACAATCGCCCCTTGATCCGGGTACAAGTTCTAAGCGAGCACAGTGATGTGTTCCGGAACTCCCACTCTCAGGGTCACCAGCAGTTGATTGTGATCCTCAGAGGCAAATGTCTCCGCATAGTCATAAAGCCTAAGATAGTTTTCCGTACGGTGTTTTCTGCTTTATTCTTGGCTTGTTGCAGGTTTGCTTTGTCTAATGCTCTCGCCAATTTTTTCTTATTTGCTCTGCTCTCAGAGCATGGGCTGAAACCATAACTGGTCGAACCATTGGCATCGTTTGAACCACTAAAGAATCTGCCCTATGGCAGCAACAGGCACATGCATCGGCAGAGAGGGCTGATGCACTGGCCTTTGTGATTTTCCCTCTATTTTTATTTTATTATTTTTTTTAATTTTAATTATTTTATTGGGGGCTTGTACAATTCTTATCGCAGTCCATACACACATCCATTGTGTCAAGCACATATGTACATTTGTTGCCCTCATCATTCCTAAAACATTTGCCTTCTATTTGAGCCCTTAATATCAGTTGCTCATTGTCACCCTCCCTCCCCATTCCCCCCTCCCTCATGAACCCTTCATAATTCATAAATTATTATAGTTTTGTCAAAAGTTACACTGTCCGACGTCTCCCTCTGCCCTC